TTTGCATTTGTCGTCAGCTTAAGGTCATAAATACAATTGGATTAGATAATGCTGTATACCTTTTCCCACTGCTGAATTATCAATGCTGAATTATTTATCATAAAATTAAGCGCACATATCAGGAGCCAGTTGAGTGTAAAATGTTACCCTGAGGGCATAGCCAGGCATTTCAATCAATGCATGTTTACATCTGCTTGTGCAGATGTATTTCCAGTGTACAGTGTGATAACCTGCAACTCTCAAAGAAACTGGCAGAAGTTGAATCAGGCCCATGGTATCCCAACTGATATTTATGAAGAATATATTTTGAAGCTGATTAGTCAAATATGAAATAGATAAAGAAAAAAAGCCATGGATGCCTTTCATTGTTTAAAGATTGAGAGATAGATGCTCAAAAAGAGGCATTGTGCTCTTCCTTTTATATTATTTTATTTCCAGGGGAGCTTTGTTGCAACTACTATCTTAAAAGTAAACATTCAGCTCAGATGTTCCACTGCTCTAAGTACAGCTTTCAGGATGCCTTCCAGAGCTGCACACCTGCAGCTCTCCCTTTTTCCCCACTGTGGCTGTTTAACATTCCAGACTCCACACAGCTCACTTGGTGCAAGTGCCATTTCATATTGCCCAACACATGTTGCAGATCTCCATTTGAAGACTGAACCCTAGATAGGTTTGTGATGCTAAGCATCTTTAGTACTTCTGAGAAGTGGAAGAGGTGTCTGCATGAACTCAATGACTGAATAAATTTTTCTAGAAAATTACAATTTTTTTTTCCTTCATTTAATCAGAATTAAATTCTCATGATTTATATAAATTCATTTTTATATAAACTGAACCCAAAAATCAAAGGCAGTGGAATAACCATCCCTGGAAGTGCTCAGGAAACGCCTGGATGCGGCACTTTGTGCCATGGCCAAGCCAGTGTTCAATCAAAAGTTAGACTTGCTGATCTTGGAGGTCTTTTCCCTCCTTTTTGTTGTTCTGTGGTTGCATGATTCTGAACTGAACTAAAAGTCACAACTGAACAAATATTACACACCAGTTATCAGAATGCAGAAGAGATAACCTTTGCATTCCTCGACAGCTTTTGTGTTCACTTGGTTAAACTATATGTGTGCTGTTAATTTACTGTGACAGCCCCAAAACACAGTTAAGCACATGGGCTGGTAAGACTGGAACAATTTTTCCATCTCAGGCTCAGAAATCAAAGTTAGCAGGACCAATTTGATGTATATACACTCCATTATAAATGTGAGGAAGGAATAGTCTGATTTCTGCTTCTTATGGGGGAATAAGAAGAGTCATTAATAAAGTGTGAGTGAAAACTGACATAAAACATGTGAAGTCTGACTTCTTCAGCAATTTCTTATTCTCTGTGAGCAGCACTGTTCCAAAATACTGGAAAATGTTAATCTGTGGTTCCATTTCAACCATTGTAAGAGGCATTGTCAGCTATTCAGAAAAAAATTTAAGGTTTTCAGGCTATTGATTAAAGCTTGTAAAATTAATAAAGGAAGAAATTATGAGTTCTTAGAAGTGAGTTCACAGGCTAAATTTTTTATTAAACATTTTTCAAGTATCTGTAAACTATGAAAAATGGTATTACTATAGCCAAACACAAACAAACGTAGCAAAAACTATGATGTATAATTGAAATGAAGCTGAGTAATAAAGAAAAAGGAGAAATATTAATGAAATCTTTCCTATTATATGAAACAAAATATGTGGAAAGAGTTCTCAGGAGGATTTAAATTTTTTTCTCATGTGCAGTAATCTTAAGTAATTCTAGTAATTTTTTTTAGAAATGTCCAAAATTTACATTCTTTCTGGTTAAACTGAATATTTTGGTATGAAATTAGGAATCTAAATAAAGTGGCCAAATTTTTGATTGTATTTTGCAGTTGTAATTTCCTTGTATTTTCATGGCCTTTTTGCATGGTAAATGTTTAATGATAACCAAGCACTTATATTTAACTACTGAGTGAAGGGCTTGGGAGCTTAACTTTAGTTGTGTGCAAATGTTTGAATTACTTTTGTTATAAATAGCATATTTTTAATTTTTTTTTTTTTTTTTTTTGAAACAAAGAGATCTGAGCACACATCTTTTCTGCAAAATCAAGGTAAATTGATTCCTGGTCTTTTTAACATTTCTTTCTATCCCACTGGAGGGCCAGCTGATGTGCAAGCCACCATTTCCTCAAATGAATGGCATTTGTTTCCTGTTCTCCAGTTTATCTCTGAGAAAACTACACTTCACATATCTCTTAAGAGTTGTAATGAGGTTTAGCTTGTTAATACAGGACTTGTAATTTGTGATTACCAAAAAACACTATCAAAATATGGCTTCTTTTACTATTCTTGTTTCATTGTATCAATTCCTGAATGGAAGAACATTAAACATGCAATATATGACTTCAGTCCACAGGGCATTTTGGCTATTAGTTAAAAAAAATCTGCACATGAACCCCCCCCAAGTGTAAATATGTCAATACAGTATTATGGGAAGATATTACTGTTTACATTGTACAATGTATGCTTGCAATATTTAATTTCGTTTTTTTTCAACCAAACATGCATTTCCATAAGTTCCTTTTCTAAGAAAAAATATCAGATACTATTTTCTGGTGAGTAGATATGCAAAGATTTTTAAAAATATTTTTCCAGCACTTGCTTAATATTTTTCTGTTGAAGTTATCTTCTTTAATACAGAAGCATCACAGTTATTAGGATAGACTACGCAAATATTAGACTATATAGGCAAAAGATAAGTGATAAAAGAATGAAATTTGAAGTTTGAAATGCTGATAAAAGGTTACCACGTTATGCAGTAGAGATATCCTGGATATGTTCAAGCATTTTTTACATTGAACACTAAGCTCCACAGAAGCTACTTCTGCAACAAACAGTTTCAGAAATGATGGAAGTTTCCTGTGTTGTACACAGAATGTTGGCAGTCATTTCCTTTGATGGATTAGGTTTCATACTGAATTTCAAACCTTTTAGTATTCTTGCAGTATGTGACCATTTCGGCAGAGGCATGCTAATAATGCAAAGGCTTTGAAGAAAACAAGTGACAAGATAAAGTAGTCCTTAAAAAGCCCAAACCCAACAGCACAGTGCCTAAGGCCGTAGCTGCAGAGACAGGGTGAGGATTCAGGAGCTTTGGGTATATGAAACTGCTATGTTTTGGACTCTTTCCCTGGGTCTCTGGCAGTAAAGGCTAGTGGGAACCTTGAGGGAAACCTTCTGACACTGTTCATGTGATCAGGAATTTTCTGTTTTTTGCAGTCGTAGTATAGGAACCATGTCAACAAAGTTCTACCTAAATGAGAGCTAGTGCTCCAAACCAGTAGTAATCCATGCTGTTTTCCCAGTTCTTCAAAATAAAATAATTTCAATGCACACATCCACTATTTTGGTTCATAATATCTACTGAAACTGAAGCTATTGAAATAGCTGTAACATAAATACATTGCTTAGCAAGAAAAATGTGTAGTAGTAATACTTTACTTCCATCTACAGTACATCCTAAATATCAGTGTTGTCTTCTTAATTTTGACAGCAGTTAGATGGTATTTGGATAGGATTTATGTTACAAGTCCCTATTTCAAATGACTGTTGAGTTGGAATTTGGAATAGTCTCTTTAAGTCTTTTTAAAGACTTTTTAAAGAATAGTCTTTTTAAACTCAAAAACATGTTTTGTGCATATTGTTAGGGTCTGAGTTATGTTTCTACTATGCAGGTTTTGCATTTTGGGACTCAGAATATAGACTGCCATTTTCAAACAATGACAAACTCCCATGACAGAAAGTTAAAAACCCCACAATGTCCTCTCCATATTTGTACTTGCACTCACATGCAATGTGGGTACTTCATCTCTGGCTTTTGGTTTACATATGTAAAAGTTAGGACACAAACATTCCCTCTTTCATGTGCAAAATTTAATTTAAAAATAACAATATGTCCATATATTTCTAGCAATCTGATGTTTTAAGTCTTAAATCCTCAGGTTTCTGTGTCTAGCCACACTATTAAATAGTATTCTATACTAAAAATTCCATGAAACATGGAATGTTGTTGAATGAAACATGGTGTTTCCATGAAACACCAATTGGACATTCTTCAGTTTCTAAATGTAATTTCTGCATAGTGATAATTATGCATATTAGGATGTTGTCTTTAGTTGATTGAATTGTGTAAGAGGTATGGGATATGTCTGTATTTATAGATTGGAAGTTCATTATGTCCAGCAAATTTTCCCATGAAAAACCTGAAAATGTCTCTGTGTGTTTGAGAATTTTATGTGTGATTTATTGTAAGACATTTTCCAGATGCAAATGGTTTGTGTCTTAAGAATGGAGGAATACATTGAAATCCTACTTACTAAATGTGGAATTATCAGCATTTTAGAAAAGTGGTAAGATTAAAAGAAATAATTTACCTTTTTGTCATTTTTCTTTGGTGAACTGGTATATGCAAATTGGATTAAAAGTATAGAAGTAGAAAACAAAAAAAAATATAGCACTTACTTGCATTGTTTCTTCAATCAGATTTTGTGCATTTGAGAAGGTAATAAATGCAAAAGTAAATCTTCTGAAGGGGTCATTAAATCTCTCACAAATTTTGAGTATTTAAATACCAAACTCGTAGGCAGGTAATGGCATTTCTAGCTTTACCTGGTATTTTTTAATTTGTGAGTCTTTCTTCAATTGAAAGGAGCTGGAGGCTTTAAGAAAACACTTTAGTGGGTGACTTCTATCCAATATAAGCCTTTTTCAGCAGCTTACATAACACTGGCATGCAGCCAAGAGTCAGGTGTGTCAGTATGGTTCTCTGCTGAAATTAATGTGCTCAAATTAATGATCCTGCCTTAGAAACCTCAGCTTTTTTAGAAGTTCAGGATGACATTTATTTTCCTTTAACCTGACTGATTTTCAGAATTAAATGAGTTTCTTTTCTGATTTGCAACATGTACATCACCTGTAATTTTTGTCTGCAGATTTTCCACATGACATACGATCTGGCCAGTGCAGTGGTGAGAATCTTTAATCTGATTGGAATGATGCTCCTGCTGTGCCACTGGGATGGTTGTCTACAGTTTTTAGTACCATTACTCCAGGATTTCCCACCAGATTGCTGGGTGTCCCTAAACGGTATGGTTGTAAGTATTGTTCATTTTTCATTGTGCTTTCTAAACATTATTTTTCTAAACAATTAGCTACAGAATTTAGTGTAAAAACACATGCCTAGTAATATGCTGCCCTGCAAGTTATTCAGGTTACTTTCCTGTTTTCTTGGCTCACTTGCTAATGAACTAAAGTTTGTTTTGTAGTGCTCATGGTCAGTAAAATGATATTGACTTCTTGTCAGCAAATGAGCCAGAAAATGCTTTCAGTTTTAAGGTCATTCTAGTTTATTAACCCTTATTCCCTAAAAAACCCCCACCAAAATAAGTATGGAAACACTCAGTTCACCACTGCTTTCAGTTTAGGCTGCAGTGTCAGAATGCTACTGAAGGTAGATTATTGACATAATGTAATGTTATCCTCAGTTTGTAAACTTCTGAGTCATGTAATGATCCATTGTTCCCAACACACAGATCAAGATTTTTACAAGTAAAATAAGATAAATAGACTTAGTTGTATGATAGTTTTCTGTGTGGGAACAGAATGTTCAAGGACAGAAAAATGACTGCGCGTTATTTTTAAGGACGGGTAATGACTTTCTATTTAAAGGACAATGGCTGTGAAAAATACTTTTTTTTTTTTTTTTTTTATCAAGACAGATAATGTGGCAGTATATATAACATTTTTAAAGGAAATACAGTGCAATTGTTGGAATGGGCCTATAGCCAAAAGAAAAACCTCAAGCAGCTCTCTCATTGATAATGTGAAAATATATGTCTCCCTGGTTTTTGTAATCTTAGCATCCATAAACCATCACCTTTACTGAAGCTGGGCATCTTGCTCAGTGTGACATTTTCCTGCTGTAGAACTGTAACAGTATTTGTTCCTTTAGGAACATGATACTGCACATTAATGTGGGAGCTCCTTGACTTAGACTGTCAGTCAGACAGACAAGTATTTGCAGTCATCAGGCAACATATTTAATGATAACCAGCATGTTTGCTGACACCTCATTGTGCCTGCTTTTCTAAAAAAAATACTGACATATCTTCAAAAATGGGATTGCTACAATAAAAGTAGGTCACCGCAGTGCTGACTGGCACATCTTTCCATTCTGCTGTATTCCGTGTTCTGCTTTCTAACATCTTCCATTCACGTTCACAAAGCGTAAATTTTCTACCAGCTTTTTAAAGATCTGGATGAAAATCATGCTAGCGAATGAAAGGAAGCCTAGGATTACACTTAATTGAAGAATTTAACTTTTAGAAAACACTAAACTATTAAATTCTCTCTGCTCCTTGAGAGCTACATTCAGTCTTAAGGAAGCTGTACACACTATGCACATGCTCAGACCCTTCTTTCTGCCTACCCACGTTCATGTTTGGGTTTTTTTTATGGAAACAATATTCTCTCTCTCTACTGTCCATATAATCTTGGAAAGATCCTTTCTGAAAGTTGCAGCATTAATTTTTCTTTTTTTTTTAGTAGCAGCTGAATTGTTTATGCTGAATGAATTTTGGGGAGAAATTTGAATATAAAGCTCCTAGCATAGGCAGTCTTTCAGGCCAGTGTCAAGAGAAAGCGTGGTGGACTGCTAGCTTGGAATCAGGTGCATATTTAAGACCACTGTTAGGAAAAAGGTTTAGACTTCTAGACGTGTCACGGTGTTACAAGACATTTGCTAGTTGTTTTCCAGGCTCTGAGAGTGAATTTTTTAATACTAAAAAAAGACAGTGAGACAGTGAAGCTGTCATGGAATATCAGTCCTCTAAAATGATAGAGGAAACAGAAGGGGTATGATAATGATGAAGATGATGATGGTTACCTGCTTTTCTGGTGTATTCAGGGTCTAACTGAAAGGTGACTTTCGGAGTTTGAAAGGGTTTCACATTCCTGACATGGCAAGAGCTTTGGCAAGAGGGGAACCTTACTCTCCTGGTGTACTGTCGCACATAACAATTTAATCCACTCTGAGTTTTAACTTTTGTTACTGAAATGACTGCACCTGGTACTTGGGTTTGGATGCAAAGTAAAATTTTAAACTTATTAATTGTGATCATCGGCTTGAAAGCTTATTCAAGACAATATGTGCTCAGCCAAAAAAAGTCAGTTTTTCCAAATGTAAGTCAAGTCAAAGCTTTTTCAGATAATCTGTTAATAAAGGAAGTGAAGAAGTCGGAAGGATGACATGGTATCTCCTTGACTGACAGAGCCCAGCCTTCTCTTCTAGTACACAGTTCCATTCTGCTTTGCGTATTAGTTGCTTCAGGTTGCAGGGTGCAAGAACTTTTAAAAGCCTTGTCCTCAAAGCTGTTTCATCTGCCTGAACTGATACACAAAAGTAACCAAATACCTCAGGCATGCTCATGGTTTTAATTTAAAAGTAGTGTAAAGGAAAATAATGTAGATTAAATTTAATGTCACAGAGGAATAGGAAAATTAGCCCAGGTTGCACGTTGCTTACTGCCTCTTTGAACAATGTGACAGAATGCAATTAAAATGAAACAAATTAGTTGATTTTTTTTCTTTGTAAGGTTAATGGAAACCGCTTAGTGCAACACGAAGGAGACTATAAAATAGAAAGCCTTCTCTGTAAAAGATCACTACTGGTTAACAGTCTACCAACCTACAGCCTAAGCAGTTCAAAAAAATTGTTCAGATCCCATTGATATACTCTCTGCCATGATGATAATTATGAGCCTGTACTGTATCTGTACTCTCAGCTTGAACCTCTTGGCAGTTCCTAACACTGGCCCTCGTCTTGCAATGAAATGACTGCCAGAGTTGGCATCTTCCAGAATATTGGTGTACTGGTCAGTAAAAATAAGAAAACTGGTAAATATAATATGAAAGTAAGTAGCAGCTGTTTTGCCCTCTCCCTCCCCTCTCCCCAACACCCCCTGCCCCACCCCACTTTTAGTCACATTCCTGCCCATCCATTACAGAAAAAATAAGAGTCAATTATTTATAGGAGGGAATATTGCTCTTTGATGCTGTTTTAATTTTTTTTCAACACTAGGATTTTTTAATTCCTAAAGAAGGTCTTTTCTGAAGAAGTTTCACAGACTTTCTTAATGATGCTGCCTAATTTCTTCTTGGCTCAGAAAGCCTATTATCTGCATCTCCCTGTGTGATTTATCCTCAGCTTTCTGATCTGCATTGCTTTAGACTAGTGTACTTCCATAATGACTCATAGACTAAACATTTTTGTCATGCCTCAGAGTTTGAGCCAGGAGCTCCTTAGAAAATTAAGAGTAGAAAAACTTGCAGATAAAACTAGGTACACACAAAACCAGAAAAGCACAGTGGTCCTCTGCTATAGTCAGTCTATGCAAACCAAGATTCTGCATTCAGTTTCAGGTACAGTAATTGCAAAAGCCAGTGTGTGGGTTCCAGCTGATGAACTCACCTAGTCACATCTTACATGGGTAGGGTTTCTAGGCAAGTGCAGATGAGAGATGATACTTTTGCCACTGATGCCATCTGGCTATCTAAATATCACAGCCTGTGATAAAGCATAACTTGCAGCAGATGATTACTAGCAGTGTCTGAAGATTCCCAACCGATATTTTCCTGTTGGTATTTGCAATAGTTAGTTATATGGTTAAGAAAACATTTGGTCCCTTAAGCAAGGTATTTACCTGGGCTTTACAGATTTTTTTAATTTATAATGGTCCCTTTGTGAGATACAAGTGTAGTGGGGAGGTATAGAATTTAACTTGAATGGTGAGTTTTTTAAAAGCCAAAAGAGATTGTAAAGCTTTTGTAAAGTCCTTACTTTACTGGCTTTTCCCCTGATAGTCGGCCAATGTTTGCTCAGCAGGAGCCCTTCAGGTACTCTGATTTATTTTATTTTGTCTTTTCCTTTCTGTCCTTGCAGTTGGATTGTTTGGATTGTCTTGGGGTGTTCTAGGATGGATTTAGTAACCTGGGATTTTGCATTGTATTGACGCCCGTTTGTGTCTCATAATTTCCTCAGGAGCAAAAGAAATCAGACCTTCATCTCTGATGGTATCAGCACTGCTAGTAAAAGAATTTGGGAATTTCTGCCATAAAATCTGGAAGTCTCTCTCACTATAAAATGAATCACTTAAATGAATATTTGATAGGAAATTCAGAAAGGCAGGAGATGGTTAGGATTTATAATGCCCTAAGAACTGTGCTAACATATATGTAATATATAAAAAAGCTATTTAATATACCACCCAAAACTACAATTTTAATTCTCAACATTTCTTACTAATGGGCACCATTTTCAATTACACAATTTTAATTTCTTTTTTCAGTAGTGTCTCTGCTTTACTTAGTGGAGCTCAAGGATTTCAGTATAGTCATTTTGATGTGTTATTCTGCATTGGGTTTTGTCCTTTTTGATAATGCTTCAGCATAGCACCTTCTTCCCTATAGATGGCAATTAGGGAAGCTAATTTTCTCATGAGATTTTCCTGCATTTGATCATTATGTGATAGCCATAATTTAGAGCTTCACAAATGTTTCTGAGTACATTTTTATTATTATAAAATATTATAGAGCCACATTTAAAACATTAGATTCCTCTGATTTCATTTGCAATACTGAGCAATAAATGCTTATGTAAATCAAATCCCACAGTTCTATACTGGATGCTTAAAAAGTATGGACCATATGGGAATCATCTGATTCCTAGAGGCATTGAAGGTCTGATGAGTTTTACTACTATTTTAATGTATTTTCTACTCATATATTTGTGTTAATGTGTGTCTATTTAGTTAGTGCAGTGCTTCTTGGAACACATAAAAGTGTGAAATTACGAATCAGAGAGGGACTGGGATCAAAATTAGTGGATTTGTTCAAGTCAGACACTCTTTACAACACAATTTGGAAATACGGTAATACTGGAAACAACAATACGCAACTGACATTCTTAGGACTAAGGCACACATATTTTTAAATCTACAGTAGGTAATTATATTGCTTCTGTTATGTGCACCTATTCAGAATTCAGCTGCTGGTCTTTCCTGCCCTCAGCACTGACCTAGTCACTGAGGTCAGTCTG